TAATCAAGTGCACAACAAAATAGACTAAATTAGTATGTTTATGTTACTTGAAACAAACTTATGTACAAGCAAAAATATGCTTTTCTATCCATAAAGTAAAAATAATCAAGAAATGCTGACAAAAATAAATGCTTTTACAACAACTCAAACATTATGGTTCAATCTATGCTCCCACATGCAGTGTCATATCATATCTATTTGCAAATCACATTATAATTGATCCTTTCCTATGCATACATACCACACTTAATCATTGCATATAGCAGTTAATGCATGTCAGAAGTTCATTCTCTGGTTTTTGTCTTATAATCCTAATAATGCAGATAAAAAAGTGCAGTTTCAATTTTTCTACATTTTAGACACAAAATTTAAGCTGATTCTGATAAATTTATTGCCATTTTTAAAAAGTAGATGATACTTGAAAAAAAACATGTTTATTCAAAAAAAGTGGCTCAAAAATCACCCCTAATTTTTATTACATTTTTTGATACATAATCGATGTACTCATGCTATGTGAAAGTTCTAATAATAATACATGGTTTTTACTGCTTACCCCCTACCAATGGTACTGTAATTTTATGGTAAAATTTTTCCCATTTACGGTAATTAATTGAGGTATTGAAGGCTAGTAATTTTAGTGTTTTTCTTTACTATAGCTAAATACAAAATGAATATGGGTGCTTTATGTACATATGTAAATGTAGAAGTATAATACCGATAATGATAATAATAAACAAAAAATAATGAATCACTTTATTATTTGTAAAGAAAAGGTTTAACAGCTGAATCCAGTTGATCAGGAGGAATGGGAGGAGGAGAAGGTAAGGACTCACTGCTGCTATTCCTCTTGTCACTTCCATAACTATCATATCTATAAATAGTAACAAACATTATACTGACACATTAATATTAATAGTAACACACATACATGTAGTATCAATGCATGGTGTAAAATTATTACTAGAATGTACTTATAGCTACTTCTTGGCAAAAGCATAAAACTGAAAATTTTAATCGGTTCAGCGTAAAATAATTTCTAAACAAAATTAACTGAGCAGCTGTATATCTGATTATTTTTCATTTTTCTTATCATTATTATCATTATCACGGTGGGTGTATAGTGTATTTATAATGCATGCAGCGATTTCCTGATATAAAGTTGGGTATCAATGAATCTAATTAACTGATCACAAGATGTCCTTAGATTGTTGGGAAGCATTTGTCAATGATGATCATGAAGAAGATGTTCGCTTGCTACCAATAGTGAAGGAACCAAATGAAATTAAAGGAAGCTATAATTTTATATGGGTTAATGTTATTCTACTTCAATCATTTGTCTTCATGGAATGGCTGATAATCCAATGGTTTCCCTGATCTGTGTGTGTATCGTGGGTGTGTGTTTGTGGGTTGGTATCAACTAATCTAATTATAAATACTTAAGATGTCTTTTGTGGAGGACAAGTGTTGGGCTGCGTTTGAGAAAGGAGATCATGAAGAAGCTGTTCGCTTACTACCATTAGTGAAGGAACCAAATAAAATTGGAAGAGGAAAAAGTACTTTGCTTTATTCCTCTTACAATGGCTGGTTAGATGTTACAAAAGATCTCATCACTAAATATCACTGTGATCCACACGAAAGAGATAGTACAGGTTGGACTTGTCTTCATTACGCTGCCCGAAGTAATTCTGTTGATGTGATGAGATATCTCATTGATGAGGGCCACTGTGATCCAATGGCTGTTAGTAGTTTGTGGGGGCGGGCACCTCTTCACACTGCTGCTCGTTGGGGATGTACTGCAGCTGTTGAATATTTACTATCAACTGGTAAATGTGATCCACTGGCTAAAGACAAGGATAGGTACACATCATTTACACTAGCTAAGGAGAGTGGTAGCACTGATACTCTTTCTGTCTTGAAGAAGTTTGGTCATATAAAATCATCTCATCCAATTGATTCTTATGTTAACGTCCTTCTTGTGGGTAATCCTGGAGCTGGTAAAAGTACTCTTAGTCATGTCATCAATGACACAGCTAGTTTTACTCTTCTTGGTTCCTTTAGAAATGCTGGAGGGGTAGTGCCCTGTACTGCTGGTATTATTCCTTATAAACTACAACACAGGACACTGGGTAACATCATTCTTCATGATTTTGCTGGTCAGTCGGAATACTACTCCAGTCACAGTGCTGTCATTGAGAATCTCTTACAAGGTTCTGGTGGTGTGTTCCTGATAGTAGTCAATATATTGGAGAAGGAACCAGTCAAACAGCTTCATCAGTGGCTAACAGTTGTCAGAAATGAAGCACAAAAAGCTCTTAATCAATGCCATGTTATTGTAATAGTCAGTCATGTGGATGAGATAAGTAATCTTTTTGAAAGGAGAAGGAGAAAGGAAGAAATACAGGAGATTATTGTAAAAGAAAGGTGCGATAGTGTCTTCTTAGATTGTCGTAAGCTTGGTGGGAGTGGTGTGGATTCCTTCTTTGACAAGTTGTCTAGTGCCTGTGGGTCCATTCGTAGTACAAGTGGAAGGAATTTGAGTCTTTATTGTCACATGATGTATGGTCTACTGGAGGAAAGGAAAGAGAATATACTGACCCTCTCTGATGTAATGTCTGCAAGTGAGGACAATGATGATTACTTTATACCAGATAAGAAAGAAGATGTCTTGGATGTTCTTGATTCATTGCACTCAACTGGTTTGATCAGTGTTCTTAAAAGTGAAGACAAGGTGTGGGTTATTGTGAATAAGGGTATACTACTAACTGAAGTAAATGGGATTCTCTTTGCTCCAGAGAAATTCAAAGAACACGCTGACATTGCTAGCAATACTGGTATTGTTAGTGTGTCTGGTCTGACTAGACTCTTCCCTAAATATGATCCTGACATGTTGATTCGTTTTCTAAAAAACATGGAACTCTGTGAAGAAATCAATCCGTCTTTCCTAAGAATGACAAACCTCCATCAGTTAGCAGTGGAAGAGGAGGAAGAGGGAGGGACAAAAAGAAGAGGAGAAAGATTGTTGCGCTTTCCATGTCTTTTATCTACTGATAGACCTAAGGAGATGACTAGTCAAGTGTACCAGTTTGGTTGGTGTCTACAGTGTACTAGTAAACATCATTTCTTTCCTCCTCGATACTTCCATATCTTCTCATTACGTCTTGCTTACAAAATGGCTCAACCTCAAGAAGATGATAAGTTAATGCGACGTTGTACATTTTGGAACAACGGACTTTATTGGTCTAATAGTCATGGTGTAGGATCACTGGTAGAGATTGTGGATGAGAGCCAGTGTGTACTAGTAATGATGTCCTGTGAGAAAGGTCACAGTGACAATATGGTGTCTCTAAGAAGAGATGTGATAGGAAAGGTAATGAGTGTTTATAAAGAATCCTGTCCCAGTCTAGAGGTAAAAGAGTTAGTTATTGATCCTAAGGAACTAGCCTATCCTCTAAAAACACCAAGAGAAAGGACATTATATAGTGTAAAAGATGTGATTTCTGCTATTGTCAAAAGAGAACAGTTTTTAGTAAACGCTACTGGTACTAGACATACAGAATTGAAGGAGATCCTACCTGGTGAATCATTATCAGATATTAGTAACCTGTCACTATTGGGAGGACGTGATATTAAGGTAAGAATTAACACACACTAATACAATCATTAATAATTATATCTTTAAAAATAATCTTATTTTTTATCAAATTACTCAGTCTTTAACATAATTGTGGGTTGTCATCGTGTGGCTTTTACTACTAATAATATAATAGTTGTACATCTGCAAAGCCCACCATCTACTAATCAACTTTGTTCAAAGCAACTTTGTGGTTACTTTGATGTCTGTCAACTTTGTTGCCTGAAATAGAACACTTTTCTAATTCAGGCAACGAAATTGCTGTTGATTTCAACAAAGTTGCCTAGTGAATGTTAGGCTTTAAACTCACCTTTCAGCAATACACTACATATCACCTTGATAAACAAGCACAGTGACAAATATCAGTTATTATTATTATTATTGTATAGGAAGTGATTCAAGTAACTGAAAAATTCAACACAACATTAGCTGCAGTAAAGCTACATCTAGGTATGTTTATGATGATTGTCAAGTAGTGGGAATGTAGATTGTACAGTGTATATACACATTATTAATTATTATTTTAGTAGATATTAAAGATCTTGTTACTATCGTCGAAGAGCTAACAATACTCAATCAAATGGATTGTACTAAATGGTTTCAGCTTGGACTTCATTTAGGATTATATGATCCTAGACTAAAGGCTATAGACACTGACTATAGAGGAAAGACAGTGGAGTGTTTTCGTGAGTGTATGTCTGCCTGGTTAAGAGGAGAAGATAAAGTGAGAGAGAAAGGAGGTCCCAGTTGGTCATCATTAGCTACAGCACTGGATACAATAGAAGAGAAATCTATTGCTAGTTACATTAAAAATAAATATTGTACAGCAAAATACTGTAGTTGATCGACAAGTTTAAATGTTAAATTATTTGTTCAATATCATAAATTTCTAATGTCACTTCCATATTTGTTATATAGTTGAAAAGACTGCCTAACTAGAGCCTATATGCTTTATTTTTTGTTTAAATAAGTATTATCATAATCATTAACTATTAATGATTAATTCTTATTACTTCATAGTTGCATAATTTATTTCATGGCCTCAAATTTTCATTTTTTAAATAAAATTCTTTTAAGTTCTTATTTTGATGTTTAAAAGGCTGAAAATTTCAACTAGGTCAGAGTAAAATTTTCAGCTTCTTGCGAAGCATAATGGGTAATTTTAATGCATGCATTTGTAACAATTATTTGTTGATCAGCTGTGTATGTACAAGGTGTCTGGCTATCTCTACAAATCATGACATGTGTACAGTTTTAGTCAGGAGTCCATTTCTTCTTTCATGGGCTCCTGCCTCCTGGTATAGTGTAAGGGCATTGATGATGTATGTGTGTGGGCGGGCATCAATGAATCTAATTAACTCATCACAAGATGTCGCTAATAGAAGACAAGTGTTGGGCAGCGTTTGAGAAAGGAGATCATAAAGAAGCTGTTCACTTACTGCCATTAGTGAAGAAACCAAATAAAATTAGAAGAGAAAACCGGTGGGGTAATGTTACTCTACTTAATTTCTCTTCAATGAATGGCTGGTTAGATGTTACAAAAGATCTCATCACTAAATATCACTTTGATCCACACAAAAGAGATGGTTTAGGTTGCACTTGTCTTCATTGGGCTGCAGACAGTAATCAAGTTGATGTGTTGAGATATCTCATTGATGAGTGTCACTGTAATCCAAAGGTTCCTGGTGAGTATGGAGATACCGTTCTTCACAGTGTAGCTGCTAATGCAGGATCGCTTGATTTTATGAAGTACTTGATCAGTCATCATCAATGTGATCCAATGGCTACAACCAATTGGGGTATGACTGTTCTTCACCGTGCTGCCGAACACATAGATATTGTAAAGTATCTCATTAATGAGTGTCACTGTGATCCAAAGGCCACTACCAAGGATGGTATGACTGTTCTTCACTGTGCTGCTGGACACATTGATAGTGTAAAGTATCTCATTAATGAGTGTCAATGTGATCCAATGGCTACTACCAAAGATGGTGTGACTGTTCTTCACCGTGCTGCTGGACACATTGATAGTGTAAAGTATCTCATTAATGAGTGTCACTGTGATCCAAAGGCCACTACCAAGGATGGTGTGACTGTTCTTCACTGTGCTGCTGGACACATTGATAGTGTAAAGTATCTCATTAATGAGTGTCACTGTGATCCAATGGCTACTACCAAAGATGGTGTGACTGTTCTTCACTGTGCTGCTGGACACATTGATATTGTAAAGTATCTCATTAATGAGTGTCAATGTGATCCAATGGCTACTACCAAAGATGGTGTGACTGTTCTTCACCGTGCTGCTGGACACATTGATAGCATAAAGTACCTCATTAATGAGTGTCACTGTGATCCAATGGCTACTACCAAAGATGGCGAGACTATTCTTCACCGTGCTGCTGGACACATTGATATCGTAAAGTACCTCATTAATGAGTGTCACTGTGATCCAATGGCTACTACCAAAAATGGCGAGACTATTCTTCACCATGCTGCTGGACACA